AAGCTACTCAGATTTCCCAAATGCTTTTAAACATCCAATAATTTTACCCAATGGACACCTAGTGACGGAAACAATAATTAGACATTATCATAAAGAACAAGTGCACACATGAACGTCTCAAGTGCTGGCCACAATTCGAAAAAGCTATTGGATAGTTGAAGAAACCAGCACAGTTAGGAGAGTGATGGGAAAGTGTGTGACTTGCTGGTAGTTTACCATGAATTCAGGACAACAACTGCTGGGGCCGCTTTCAGCTTGTAGAAAGCAATAGGACTGGCATAGCGGCAACAGTAGCTTGCCGTGGACCTTTTTTAGTCAAAAGCGGAAAATCATTGGAAAAAAGATATGGATATGTATTTACTTGTTTGAAAACACGAGCAGTACATATTGAAATGACGCTTAGTTTGGATACTGACTCATTTATAGTGGCCCTATTGCGATTTTTCGGAAGAAGAGGTGTCGAACTTCGTGGGTGCGATCTCTGAACTAAGGAGGTTTGTGCAACAGTTAAGTCAGCAGAAGATAAGTAATGAATTGTCAATGAAGAAGATTTGATGGCATTTTAACCCGCTCCCATCCAGCCACGCGGGTGGAGTTTGGGGTAGGATGATTATGTCTATACTCTGGTTGTTATTATTGATCACCAGAGGATAGATTTTGACTGATGAGACCTTAGGCAAATATTTGTCCGAAATTAAAAGGATATTGGACGGTCGACCTTTGACCTCAGTTATCAAAGATACTAACTATAAACTAGCCCCATCTCCGAATAGTTTGCTGTTGTTGAGGGAGAGTGACGGAGTAGTTGAAGAAGGTAACATCAGAGATAAGTATGAAAAGCGTTGAAAACAGGTCAATAATCTAGCTAATATGTTTTGGCAAAGGTGATTATGAGAATATTGACCTTCCATACAAAAACGTCAAAAATGGTTAGTTGAACATCGCGATTTCCAGAAGAATGTAATAATCGTGACTTCGGACATTTCGACACACGGAAAGAGGCCTTTAGAAGTAGTTGAAGGCTGTGAAACAAATAATGACGAAAAGGTTAGGATGGTAACTGGATAACGGGTCGGTTAAAAAGGATATACGTAAGGTGTGTCTCTTTGAATGCTCGAATTAGTTCCTTGTTGTGAGTTCTGTTAGCCCTACTCGTTCCCCTAGTGTAGACTATGCTACAGAATGAACCACGACTAAATGCATCAAAGTGGCTTTCTGTTGTATGGAGGGATTTTCAAGGCCTGTGTAAGATGTGCTTTGGAGGTTTTTGTGTGAAAATCCCTTGTGATTTCTTTTTATTGATTCATCCAGTTGTAGATTTTGTTAGTTGTTTTGATTACATTTGAGGTGGTCATATTTGTATTTTATTATAATTTTTATCTTTCTGTGGTGTTTGAACGAACTAATAATACCTTTGTACTTGTTGAATGCTCGATTTCGAATTCCAAATACAATACATTCGCCTGTGCTTGTGTCTTACTTCTTAATTCAAATGCGTTAATTCTGGGACTCTTAGTTCGTGCTATAATTCAAATAATCCAAAACATTATACTTTCTTACGCCTTCACCCAGTTTCCATGCTGCTTCCTGAACTGCATTTATGTTTTTTTAGTTGATACTTAGTCTTGGCGGCAGCCCTACTGATTTTGTTCCTCCTTTGGTCGTGTTTCTTGCATTGACTAGGATTGTGCACTTTTGATTGTGAATTGAAGCACTCGTTCAGAATTGGAAACACTGTGTTATAATGCAACCAAATATTATTTTTCGGAGGAATTTGTAAGTGATCTTTCCAGAAAGGAAAGAATAACGTTTAATTGTTGCGCTTACTAATTTTCTTACATCCTTCATCAACTTTTTTATTTATGGTAATTTAGATTTGAATAACTGAACAAACATTGGTTGAATAACTGGGCGGTAATATTTGTTTTGGTTATGATACGCATTTATATTTATGATGAAATCTAGAACCGCCATTTACCCAATCACCTTGTTTTGGTTCCAGCTGGGCGATAGCGCGTATCTAAACTACCTAGACAGTTGTTCTTCAGTTCCAAGCTTCATTTGTATTCTACAATAACACATGCTTGTAGTTTGCAAGATGTTAATTGTCTATTCACAACCATATTAATAATGAGTTCACAATAATCACCACATATCCTGCTAACTGCCTTTATCACTCTGCCAAATGGGTATATTAAATAGTTGGAAAATCTACTACTTCTCGGTCACCACATGTGAGTGGAAGTCAACTATTGGGAGCAGTAACGGCAAATTCGGTGGATTCGTCAACGTAATGAAACACCGCGGATGACATGAAGTCCTGAATAATGAACATGTCAGCAACGTATAAATACTTGGGTTTTTATATGTAAAAATTATATTTCAAATAATCTCGGCGATTGAAATGTGAATTAAGCCAACGTTTCGTACAGTAAACGTGTTTGGACAAGTTGGTCGAGAAAGAATTTTCACATGATAACCTGGGCATCATCTAACGATCAGAATGACCATAAAAACTTCTTTTGTATATGGTCCTTTATAAGGACATCATTAACCAGAGTCCAACTGATGATTATCGGCGAGTGAATATGAAAATCACTTTAGATCGTTACCTTTTACCATACATCCATGACCTGACAGCTATTCTTAGAGGTACAGTTTTTTCCGAAAATGTATTTGGTTGAAGATGTAACCGAATTTCGGTGGCTACAGGCGACATTCTTTAAACGGCGATCGTCATTCTTTTCGGACTCTACGAGTTTTTCCGAACGCTTTCCGGTTTAAGAAATGCTAAACAAACTTTCCAGAGATTCATTGATAACATATCCAGAGGTTTTGAATTCATGAATACAAATGAATATGGCTTCAAGTCCAAACAAACAATCTCTTTTCCATCAAATAAACACAGTTAACAAATGACTCACAGTATGCAATGTTACTGAAAACATCTTGGAATGGCACATCGAAATTGGCTTTCTGTATCTTCTCATACACCGTTGAAGTCCAAGACACCTGCCTTCAAAAAAGAAAAGTAGTAGCCATTCCGAATTACTCAGAATCGACCACAGTCGATCACTGACGTGGATTCGATGAAATAGTAAGTTCCTATCAACATTCAATGCTGATCTGAGCTTCCTTCATAGGGTCCTTAATAAACCAACTCCGTGGAAACGTGAAAATCATCAGTTTGGGTGACGACGCAAAAGGTGCATTCTACACAATTAAGGAAATTATCGCCGCAGGACATCAAAGCGCCCATTATTATCGCCGTAGACATATCCAACCCGGCAATCCGAGGAGTCTTACAACAATGGACGACTAAGAACGAAGAACCTTTAGGACTGTTTCCGAGACGTCCGCAAGACACTGAACAGGAATGTGACACACTCATAAGAGAACTCCTAGTTATGTGTTGTGCTGTACGGCATTTTCACCGCTCTGTGGAAAGCTGATAGTTTACTTCGTTTAGCCACAATAGACAAGTACTTTATTGTTAAAAATTTTTTCTGAAGTCTTACGCTAACTGTGACAAAAATGCCTTCCGAGCAAACCTTGCTCTGGTAACGTTGAAGCGCATTTTTGGACAGTTTGACGGACGAACTTTCCATACAATCTTCAATAGTTTCATCCGACCCCATTTATAGTACGGAAACATAGTACTCCCCCTCACTCCAAAAAAAACAAGCTCACTTTGGAGCGTATCCAACGGCGAGCCACGAAATCATTTCGACGACTCAAATCTAAACCTTACTAAGAACGCCTCCATTCACTAGACCTTTACCCATTAGAGTATAGGCGTCTTAGAGGTGATTTATTAATGGCTTATAGTATTCTTAACACTTCTGGACATCCTCTTAAACACCTACTTAAGCTTAGTTCGAATAATAACCTAAGGGGTAGCACCCAGAAACTGGAAACACAACATAGCAAGACGGAATGTAGACACAACTTCTACTCCTTAAGAGTTGTCAAAAGCTGGAATTCGCTGCCGGCCGAGCTAGTCCAAGCGACTTCTCAGGAGTCCTTCAAGAGGCAACTTGACCTATTCTTAAGGACCAAGGACAGCATCACACTATGATTTACCAATTTCTTTTCCTGTTTTATTGTTAACATACCTAGGTTCCTGCCTGGAGGATTTGGTGATCCCCTGTTACTAGACACGGAAGCCTGTCAAGTGAAAGCTTCTTCTATTCCGCCCACAACCATTTGAACCATTTGAACGGGATCAAATATCTCAGTTCACTTGGGATTTACAAGACACTCCTTAATTAACAATGTACTTACAGACCTCGTCTCGTCCAACTTCTCTGAATAGTTTCCAATAAATCGATCTTCTTAAACACGCTCAACTTAAAAAAAGCTCAATGACCTTTGAACACTTAGAAATCACTAATCAAACAGGTCGTAACTGGTTATGGAACTTTACTATGTGACATATCTTTAGGTAATGATCGTTCAGTCGCGCCGTAACACTGTCGAAGAAACGTCTTCATCATAATGCACAAGCCTACTCATCCAGGTTTATGAACATATTTCACGGCAGTATGATTTTGATGGCATAGTGTGAATCAAGGTGTGATGGAGTAGGCGTGCACTGATGTAAGCTGCCAAAAGCCTGTGGAGGTAAGAAAAAACAAATGTCATTGGACTCTTTCGCTACTCTCGACGCTCTTTCCGATCATGTTCATTTTGACTTAGTTGAGCTCTAGGAGGATCTAAGTTATTATTATTAATGGGTTAAAACTTCCAGATGATCTCCTCCTAGGGTCTTACTGCTTTATCATAGAGTGGAGTGAAATGCAGCGGCAATAAAATCCACAAATTAAATAGCTTCATTCTAGATATATGTAACATACAATTATTAGGTTTTTCATCTGAAAAATCAGTCTGGATTGTTAACTAATTCGGACATCCCATTTAGTTTAAATTTTTCAAATTAGGTGTACTCTTTTTTGCAATGTTACAAACTTGAAGGTCGTGTAATTAGAATTCGTAATCAAATGTGTTGGAAGGGGTCATCTTTAATGTGCGTAAAGTGTGTATTGTTATGTTTGAATGTCATATTTATACTGATTGGGCTTTCGTCTATCGTGATAGCTAGCTGGGCCTTATTTTGGCCCCAAATATTTTTGGATATTATGGGACCTCATTTGTTAAGAATATCAGCATATTCAACTATATCCATTGGAGGAGTCATTTTGCTACTATCAATTTTAGGATGCACAGGGGCTGCACTTGAAAATCGCTGCATTTTGGTTACGGTATAGAAGAGATTTTTGTAATATCCTATCTCAGTTCTTCACACTACTTTGTGGCTTGTTCATGGCTTGTCTGGTTATTGGAACTTTAGCAACTGTATTTAGAAGAGACGTAAGTGAATTTTTTACTTTTTTGACGTTTCTCAAAAATAAGCTCAACGTCCATGAAAGACATTTTTTCTTTAGTTTGTTAACAAAATACATGGTTACAATGAGAATCCTTGACATCAAAAGTAGTCACATTGTTCATGCACATCGATAAATAAAGATCTTTTTTTGTTTGAGAACTATGGCGTTTTTGTAAAATCTCTGTGTCCCTATTTTAGAGTAATTTTGGAGAATTTTTGGGAATTTTTGGGTTTTTCCCTGAGGTTCAATAGTCTCTCCCAATTTTTTGGTGAAATATCTGGAAAATTATGAAAATTTTGGAAGCTTTTCCCAGATTTGAGGAAATTTTGTGGTTTTCGTGACATTCCCCTAAAATATTTCCTAAATTTTCTATAGTGGTTTCCCGAAAATTTCTTCAAAACGGATTAAATGTTCCCTCAAATTTGGAAATTTGGATATTTGGCTAAAGAACTCAAAAACAGCGACTGATCTTTTTCTTAACTTTTTTGTTGTTTGTATCTAGTGTTTGTTTGTTTTGGTTGGTGTCTGATCATTACAGGAACCACTGTGTAGTTTTTCACTATTCAATTTAATTGCAAGGGAAGAATTACATAGCTGAGTGCTAGCTATCGTAGTGACTCATCTTTGGGATCGGTTTTGTATTTGTATTAAAATTTGTTGTTAGCTGTACTAAATGCCGTAGCCTTAGTCCTCAGGGTTCTGTTTAAAACGATGAACTAATCAAAGATATGATCGCCGAGCAAGGAAAACATGAGTTTGAGGGAAAAATGGTGTTCACAGCCGAAAATCTACACATGAGATAGACTCTCGTTCCGAATATTGTTTGCTTTTTTTGCTTTGTACTTGACCTAAAAATGTGTTTGATGTGTATCATAAACAAAAAGTAAATCAAAATATGGTCTCAAAAAGCTCCTCTGGCTCAGTTTTTATATATTCATTTCGAAAGCAAAAGTCTTTAAGAAGACATGAAATTATAGATTGATAGTCAGTATGGTATATTACGCTTCCCAGTATTCGCTAAAAGTTCGTTAGACTCTGGTTATCCGCTTTAAGTAAAAAACAACTTGTGTAAAAGTAAACATTAAAAATAATCGATACTACTACTTAGATGCACATTGTGAAAATACATTTACAAATGTTTGTGTCGAGTTGTTAAAAAATCAATAAACTCAAAAAATTTATTACGACTTTTAAACTATCTAGTAACTCGAAGTCATTATTAAAAAATATCCTGAGCATTTACAAAAATGGCCCGTTTTATCATCTGACCACTTAATTCCATATCGATTATGATTTGGAAGTATTGCTTAGACACCATGTTTAGATGTATATAAAATATGTAATAAGGCTGAAAATAGTTTGTGCGGCTTGTTTTAATTTAAACATGTGGAGGGATTTTTGATATATTAGCTTTTGTGTATTCATGGTATAAATTTATTCTGTCCGTAACGTTATTACTACTATGCCTAGAATATAACTCATGAGCCCTTACAGTGATCAAGACAAAGTGAGAAAACAATCAGTTACCTTGTAACCTTCTGCACAGAAAGTGGTTTCGTTTTGCGACTTTACTTGCAATTCTACACTACGCCCAAGATTAGAGTGCCTTTGGTGATGTAAGCAGCAGAGATATTTAAGTACTTGAAGTAAACAGATAAATTGTTTCATCTCTCAATTATGATTTATCGTGAATATACTACCTCATTTGAAATTATTTGTCGAATTTCAGTTAATTATACTAATGGTTAATCGGATGAGTATTGCCGTACAGCAAGATTACGGAAATTCAGACTTCTGGACGGAACTACTTGACCTTCTTCAGTCAAGGGTGAGTTAACGTTAATTCAACAAAGTGATTATGTTTTCTTATATCTCTCATAATTAGTGGCATAACACTCTTAATTAATTACTAATTATAACCCAAAGCTTTGTTGAATTCACAAGTCGGTCTAAGCCAGAACACATTGATGTTGAAAACCTGGAAGTACTGGATGGCCGTTTTGTCGAAATATCGGGCTCTGCATCCCCGATCGACTCGTGAATTCAACTGTAAAAACACAACAATCTCCACAAATCCCCACACCAATCAAGCTTTTTTGCTTCAAATATGAAATCAAAAAAGGTTTACTGAGTATGTAATTATTTTATCTAAGTGTTTAACAATAAACAGCTCGCTCATGATACTCATTGCCCACGTGATTATGTGATACTACAGTCCTAGTTAACTTAAAGCAAATTTCCATCTACATGTAGTTCAAGAAGCTAAAGTTCCTTCTTGGTATGCAACTTAGTGAGTTGAATTCTTAAATATGCAACTTTGTTATAAAAACTAACAAGAACAGTTTACCCGTCGAATTCCACCATACTAAAATAGTAGACTGAGATTCGAATTTTCGGCTCTGTATATCGACACTATGGTTAACAAACTGTCTGTATAAGTGACTGTCATTACGTTTTCTTGCTACGAAAAGTATTACAGTCAAATATTTGCTACTAGAAACATTTAATGAGAAAATGTTTCCTGGTCAATAATTAAATTAAACTGTGGAAATAATTTGCTAATAATGAAAGGTTAGCTGTTATAGTTGTTGAATTGAAAATTCGTTTTTACAGAATAAAACAAAAAACAGTTGTCATAATGTTTACGATTATGGACGAGTACTATTTTATAGATATGCGGGATGCCAGTGGGAAATTAGTTTTTAAAACTCGGTAAATGCATGTAGCATGATATATTATAGTTTCACACCACATTGTTAAAATAAAATGGTGCACTAAAATGTATTTGAAAATGAATAACGATATCAATCGAAAACCGTTTGATAATGGAGAGATTACTGAGATAAGAGAAAACCCAAAGATCATTCAGAATTATACTTGCTTATAACTAGAGTTTACCCTTGGTTCAAAATTTAACTTTTAAAGCAGGCAGAATTAATATAAATACTCTTGCTGTCATATTTATCAGTCTATCTACTCTATTCAAGTACGTAAAGCATATTTATGTAAGCTAAAGCGGAAACAAGAATTTGTATATTTTTGTTAGAATTAAAGATCTGTGTTTCTTATTAAAGTAAACTAAAACACCTTTCTAAAAGCGCTTATTTGAATAGACATATTTTCGGAAAAGATAAGAAATAAATATCGAGTTTTATTAATCAACTTTAATCACAAATATCTTTTATGGACTAGACAAGTTCATAAATAACACTACGAAGGTGTAATGTTTAGCAAAGATAATTTAGATATTTATTTTATTATATCGTGGTTATGTCCGTGAGAAACTAGTGATGTTAACCCATAATTAGTGTTAATTCATTGCAAATTTATTTAATGCTAAAAGTAATCTGAGGACTATAAGACGTTTTAGTAAAATGCGTATTTACAAAATGGGATTCCGATTGAGATCATGAATTGATCAATGTTAGGACACCGTTGAAAAGACTGCAAGCACTGGATGGCTGCTTCGTTTTATCATAGAACTCCTCAACAATGCGCATCCACGATCCTTTACACGGGATTCGAACCCAATACCTTCGGTCATGCATGCTGACGTTTAACCTCTATACCACTAAGCCGAAATCCAACAATGGTACTGTCTAACTTCAACTAGCGTATGTCTAGTACCCCTTTATATATATATATATATATATATATATATATATATATATATATATATAATGTAGGCATAACTATGAACAGTTAATTAGATAAGTGTATTTTTCGTTTTATTCACTTACTTACTTATTTACGCCTGTTACCGCTAACGGAACATAGACCGCCGAACAGTATTCTCCAACCCATTCTGTCCCAGGCCTTCCTTTCCAGTTCTATCCAATCGCTGTTAATTCCTCTCATGTATGTCTCCATTTCTCAGCGTAATGTGTTCTTTGATCTTCTTCTTTCCTTTTTGCCTTGAGGATTTCATACGAGGGCTTGCATTGTGACGCAGTTGGGTGCTTTCTTCAACTTGTCCTATTTACTTCCAGCACTTCTTCCTGATTTCTTCCTCAGCTGGGATCTGATTTATTTTCTCTCACAGATCCCAACGGTGCGTCACAAGGCCAGCCCCCACATGGAATCCTCAAGGCCAAAGGGGAGGAGAAAGACCAAAGAACACTCTGCCTGGAGCCCCCCTGGTGCCATTACTGTTACCAAGCCCGGATAAAGGAGGAGAATAGGGTACAGGGTTAGCGACCCCATCCCACAGAAAACTAACTCATTAAAAAAGACGCTAACCAGAAAAAATAATTCAAAACCATTTAAAATCTGTCCTGGGAGTTAGAAAGTCTTCATTTAAAAGAGTGATGACGCCTCATGTTGAAAGCCAAATTCCTTCGAAAGTCAAAAGGCTGATGGTCCTTCTGAAAACCAGAACAATCATTAATTTTATTCACTAGTAAAACCAATAATTACAATTGAAATTAAATGCTTTAACTTTAAAAAAAGAAGTGAATATTACTCGTTCTTATAATTCTATAGAATAAAACACAATGAAAAATGCTAATTAATTATTATTTGTTGTTAGTAATATTAAGTTGTCCATTTAAAGAAATTATTTATATGAGAATAAGAAGAAATATCAAAACAATTTAATCAATTTATAGACTAATTGTTTTTTAAGAGGAAAATAGATTTCATTAACAAATCATCAAAAGCTATTTGATACTGACTGTATTTAAAATATAAAAAACATGATTAGACTATTTGTGTTTTAAGCCGATTTTATGCTTGTTCTTTCTCCATTTTTTGTTTGAATATGAAGAAGCCGCCTATTATCGAGTGATACATAGTGAAAACTCATTATGAATTAATTGAAATACATAACAGTTACTTGAAATAAACAAATCATTGATTAACATCAGTTCTATTAATAACTAATTAGAGTTGTTTGAAGTAATATAATTATGCAATAAATTGAGGTGGCGTATCAATGAATAATTCATATAAATTTCAGTCTTTAAGTTGGAGTTTTGGACTACGTTTAAATAGCCACGTAGTTTATAAACTATTTGACTAGTTCATCATAGGATAAAAATTATTTAATCCATTTTAATCAACCCCTCCTGTAGCTCTTCTAGCGTTACTGCCGGTTTCAATCCCGGGTAAAGAAAGAGGGTTGGGAATGGGGTTACCGTCCCCATCCCGTAGAAAACTAACTCGCTAAAAAAACGCTTACCAGAAAAAATTTTTAGCCAAATATAAAATTTTAGAGATTAAAGTCTGTTGGTATTCCTTTTGTGTAGGACTCTTTAAAAATTGCACTTTAATCGACTTGGTGCAAATCAGAAAAATAAACAGGTGGAAACATATATATATATATATATTCCAAAAGAACCAAGAGCAACAATTTATAGAAATACAACCACAAGAGTTTACATAAAATTTACCGATGAAATCGATTTCTTCTTGGTTTATAAACCAGTACTAATTGAATAACAATAAACCAACTTACGTATTCAGAATTAACTTCGCACTGATCATACAGTTGTGCTGAGTTTATCTCCTTAATAAAGCCACTGTTGAGGGATGAAATTTTTTACACTTTTGGTAATATATTACTTTTATTAGTTGGGTTATTTAATTCAGTCACTCTAAACCAAGTAAAGTATATAATTTAAAAATGATTAACTTGAAACCTAATGAACACATGGTTGAAAAACCACTATAATTAAAAACATATTAGAATCTATCAAAACGAGCCTTTTACACATAGTGCTTTACGAAAACTATATCAGCGAAGCGGAGAAAAACTATTTCGTTAGTTTGTTTAAATTACAACAATATCTTTTATCATTTAAATCGATACTCAGAATTAAAATCTCAATGACTAGTAGCTTTGCTTAAGTTTAGGTTTTTTTCAAGTGTTTACCATCATTTAACCTATTCAAGTTATAATTATTCACTACTACGTTTAAATATAGCAGCTGAAACCTTTAAACTAAATGATTACTTGAAATATAACATATCGTCACTTAATTCATGAAATTGAATTTTATGGATTAACAACAAAAATACGGATTGAGTAAAGCGAAATTTTCTAGTTTCAAGATGAAAGTCATTATTAATAGTTCTAATGAGTCAGCCGAATATGGTTGGATTTTTATGGTTGTTTGACGAATATCAGTTTATGTTGAAATCTTTTCCCAAATTTTATAAGGCACATAAATATCTTGAAATCAACCATATTTTTGACCTGGTATTTGGAAATTAGGGATATGCACTGATCTAACAAATAAACAGGCTGTTAGTGGAATAGAAACATCTAAAATACCGATTTTCGCACATAGGTAACAAGTATACTGTACTTTAATCAAACAGATGGCTTACAGATTTTTTGGACAAATAAACTTATCATAAAATATCAATAATAACTGCAAGTTTTAATTCCTCAAAATAGATTTCATCTAACAAGCTTTAATGTAATAATAATTAACTGATTTGGAATTACATTTAAAAAAGGAGAATACTCCGCAAAATCATTCAAAATCTTTTGCATGAAAACAGAAAACCAGTTGGTTTTTGTAAAACCCATAATATATCTATTTTAACGTGATAAAAGAAGTGTTATTTTAAGTAGAAACATAGTTGGTACTTATTTTTATGAATGTATCGTTTATACAAATTATTTTTGCCATTCAATAGTAGTAGGTAGTAATTACTGTCATGTTTAGTGCTTGATGATAGTTAATTTCTGCTGATTAAGTTGAGCTGTGTCAAATAAGGTGGATGACTAAACATTCGTACATCCTAGGTGGTGTTAGATATTTAGAGAAAATCGATAGGAAGTCATGAGCCTACGTTTTGTGTAGATTTTCACTCATCAAC